TATATATACAAATCGAATAAAATGAAAGCAGCAGAAAGAAGAAAAAAATCTTATATTATCTCCCCCTATTATCCCAAAAATCTATTCAAACAATAGTAATTTACAAAAAAACAAAGTCAAATTAAAACATCAACTCAAACAACAATTTATTTGGATTCATATTATGCTTTCCCATACTTCTTCAAAAAAAACTTTTATCATTCTCTTTAATATGTACATACAATAGATCTGGCATTTTTAACAATCCTCAAGACCATTCCACAATCATATCCCCTGAATCAAAGTAGACCGCTCATTTATACTGGTACGAAACCAAGGCTTCGCAAACATTTCCATCCACTTAAGAAAACTCTCTCTTAACAAACTTTACTTGAATGTTAGAAGGTAATATGTTTTTGTGAGCCTTATACATAAACAGTAAAATATTATAGTCAACCAAGTCGTAGAATTTCAAAATTTTCAATTGATAAAATATTGTATTTGCTGGATGGCTGTAATCTTTCCTAGTGATAATTCTTAACTGTTCTTTCCTGTAAAATAAAAATAGGATTTGTAATTGTTTTACATGCTTTACCCCAGACTTCATTACAATAAATTAAGTGTGGAACAATTATTGCATTATACAACAAAAACAGTGCTTTATTATTGAATAATTACCTTACTGTATACACTACTTTGATAGATTTATCTATTTTTGTTCTTAAATAATTTATGTGAGGTTTCCATGTCAGCTTTTCATCAACGTTAATACCCAAAAACTTCATATCACTGACTATACAAATCTCAACACCATTGGGCCTCATGCAAGAACATTTTCGTATTCTTATCCTAAATTTCTCTTTTTGTTCGTATGAACCCTTAGTTCGAACATACTACGTCACATTCAGCAACCGCTTCTATCTTCAGGAAAAGTGTGTAAATGAGCAATGTAAACCTGATGAATGTGTATTCAGGTGCTTATACTCGAGGAGAGGATATTAGCATAATTACCACCCGAAAAACACCATATGGGGCCACACTTCCTACCCCACATTCTAGGAAGTGTCCATTTATAAATGACATTACAAAGTAAAAAGAACTTCACGAGTTTGTAGATTGAAGTCCTGCTCTCAGAGATCAAAAAAAATCTGTAATTTTTTGCAGCATCAGCTGTGGAATTAAAGGACCTGCTAAAGCCAAAGAATGAAATGTCAACTACTTTTAATTCTGTGTCTCCTGTGGGTCTTATACAGTCACAGAAATAAAAATCTAAATCATATTCATCTCTCTCTAGTCCTGCACTGATTTTCCTTTGGTCATATATTTTTTAATTTAAGTGTAAAGAACCGTGTTAAATAATTTTCAGTTATTCAGAAGAAGAGCCACAGCCCGTACCCCCCCCCCCCAATCGTCACAAGTTGTTAGATGCGGTTCTGAAAAAAGCATTTTAAAATGTCTCCAAAATGTGCTGAATATGTCTAAACAAAATAAAATTGGATAAAAAAAACATAATCTATGTTTGAATAAAGCTCATTAAGTTGGTTTGTAGTTTGAGATTTTCATAATAATATTGTAGTGTTGTACAACAGCATTAATAGCCAATTTAATTGAATTTAACCAATTTATATTGTTAAGCTACATTAATACATTTTAAATTATAATTCTAATTCAAACAGAATAGCCTATTGTCAACATAATTATGGTGTGTGATTTATTTTCAACTCGAAATATCTTCAAACTAATGAAATGTAAAGTCATTAGTAAAGAAAATCTGTCTGGATAAAAGCAGATTGACAGCATGTAAAATATCGGACAGTTCTGGACCACACGTGAATTTTGTTTGTATCTGAAAAAAAAACTTACAATACGAGAAAATTGGTGAATGCCATAAGTTCTAAATCAGTGTACGCACAACTTAAGAACAAATCTGTTCATACGAACGGATCTTGCATGAGACCTATTGACTCTAAATGGAACATGGATAATTCCCTTTCTATTACTGAATATCATAYGATAAATGGTAAATGGACTGTACTTATATAGCACTTTTCTATCCATCCAGGACACTCAAAGCTTTACACTACAATCTGTGCCCTCATTTACCCATTCACACAGCACTCTATTAGGTCTCCACAAAGCTAACGTACAATCACCTTTGAAGACTAATCAGTGCCAATCACATTCATACACTGATGGGACACACATCAGAGGCATTAGGGGTGAAGTGTCTTGCCCAAGGACACAACAACTGAAACAGCTGGGTGGGGGATCGAGCCGGTGACTTATTGTTCCAGGACGACTCCCCAAACCACTCTGCCACAGCTGCCCCAAATATAATTTGTTTTATCCAAATTTGATTTTTTTTTTCCTTCTTCTTCTTCTTGCAGGGTAGCAGGAACTCGAGCCGGTCTTCCAGTCCGAGTGTGAGGATGATGCCACCTGACAAAACAAGCGGCAGAGGATTCTTCTCCCCTGATGATCCCACAGGTACTCAAAGTGTTGAGACAGATCTTTCAAACAAATGCACATGATAAGACAGCTCAAACTATTKTAATAAGGGCCTAGCATTTATTGAAGGAATGCATATTACACATCTTTATTTTTGGACAAAGTTTTCATAAGCTGGCATAAGTTGTCTAAAATGTTATAGTGACAGGGCCACTGACTGAACAACCAGTATTCTGTGTTTCAAATAATTTCAACATGAGGATTAAGAGTCAGAAATGATTTTTGTAGCCATTAAATGTCTTTTATTATGTAGTCTCTAAAAGTGCAAAATAGTTAATTTTTTTTATCTCCCTGTGCTGTGTAGATAATTTAGTTTGGGTCATATTTTTCAACACGTTCACTTTCCTGAACATTCACATCACAGTATTTGTGACAGAACTACCAAATAAGGTCTGGACGGTAACATCTAGTTAACATCTACTGTTTGGTCGTCTTCATTCTCCTCTGGCTCTGGGTTCAGCATAAAAGGCTTGATGGACAAGCCTCCTACAGCACTGCTATTGCCAGTATCACTCCACCCCTGTTAACAATAGGTGTTAATTAGGTGTCAACGATAGCCATGTGATGTGAGGATCAGTCACATGGAGGCAGGGCTTAAAAGCCTGAATTTTGCCTGAAACTCTCAGACTKAAGAAGTCTCTTGGAGGAGAGAYGAAACGTTTCATTARAGAAGAACCCGTCCAGAAGACCTATACAATTTTTTTCTTTTTGATTTTTTACCTGGATTACTGAGATGCATCAGGACAAGTCTTCTGTTGACATTTTTTTTATTAATTTGTAAATAAAACATTTCTGTGCTGCTATATAGTCATAAACCCCTTGATCAAACTGGAATAAACCGGTCTGGAAGCTGGAGGGGGCGGGGTCTTGATTTGGATTTAAAGGAACAGTATCAAAATGAGTTGCTTTAAAACACACATCAGAAAAGGGGGAAAGAGGGGCTTGTAAAGTTAAAATAATGACAAATTCAGACCAAAGCATTCCAGAAATATTGTGGGTTGATAGCTGAGCTAACTAAACCCATTTTAAATATTAATCACAAGTTTAAGCTAACTGCTAATGTTAGTTTTAAATAAGGCTATAATTCAGCCATTTTAACACAAAACAAGCTTTGACAAATTCTGAATCTCCATCTCCATCTTCCTCCACATACCTGTAGTCGGGTCGCGGAGGCAACAGGTCCAGAAGAGAAACCCAGACATCCCTCTCCCAAGCGACACTTTCCAGCTCATCCTGGGGGACCCCAAGGTGGTCCCAGGCCAGAGAGGATACATAATCCCTCCAGTGAGTCCTGGGTCTTCCTTGGGGTTTCCTACCAGTGTGACGGGCCTGGAACACCTCAAAAGAGAGGTGTCCAGGAGGCATCCTAATCAGATGCCCGAACCACCTCAACTGACTAATTTAATGTGGAGGAGTAGCTGCTCTACTCCGAGTTCCCCCCCGGATGACAGAGCTCCTCACCCTATCTCTAAGGCTGAGCCCGGCCACCCTATGAAGGAAGCTCATTTCGGCTGCCTGTATCCGGGATCTCATTCTTTCGGTCATGATCCATGCTTCGTGACCATAGGTGAGGGTTGGAATGAAGACAGACTAGTAAATCGAGAGCTTTGCCTTTCGACTCAGCACTTTCTTCACCACGACTGACCGAAGCAACACCCTCATTACTGAGGACAAGGCCCCAATTCGTCGATCCATCTCCCGCTCCATCCTACCGTCACTCATGAACAAGACATCCAGATACTTACACTCCTCCAATTTAGGCAGAGACTCTCCCCTGACCCAGAGGGGACATTCCACCCTTTTCCAGTCGAGAACCATGGCGTCAGACTTAGAGGAACTTACTGTCATCCCAGCCACTTCACACTCAACTGCAAACCACCCCAGGGCACGCTGAAGGTCGTGGTCTGACGATGCCAACAGAACCACATCGTCTACATACAGCAAAGATGAGACCCTGTAGTTCCCAAACCATACACCCTCCTCTCCACGACGGCACCTTGACATCCTGTCCATAAACATTACAAACAGGATCAGAGACAAGGAACAGCCCTGGTGGAGTCCAACACACATTGAGAACAAGCTTACCTTTGTGACAAGAATGCGAACACAGCTCCTGCTTTGGTTATATAGGGACTGGATTGCTCTTAGGAGCAACCCAGACACTCCATACTCCCGCAGCACCCCCCACAGAATGCCTTGAGGAACACGGTCATAAGCCTTCTCTAAGTCTACAAAACACATGTAGACTGGAGAGGCAAACTCCCACGACCCCCTTAGCAACTCTACAAGGGTAAAGATCTGGTCCACTGTTCCATGCCCAGGACGAAAGCCACACTGCTGCCCTTGAATCCGAGGTTCGACAATCGATCGGAGCCTCCCTTCCAACACCCTGGAGTAAACTTTCTCAGGGAGGGTGAGTAGTGTGATCACACACTCTCCAGTCCCCTTTTTTAAAAATGGGAACCACCTCCCCACTCTGCCACTCCAGAGGAGTTGTCCTAGTCCTCCATGTGATGTTGAAGAGATGTTTCTGCCATGGTAATGGACTCGTCTTCCACCGAGTCTTCAGACTCTGCCTCCTCAAAGGTGGACATGGAGGGTAGACTCAGGAGATCCTCAAAGTGTTCATTCCACCACCTAACGATATCCTGAGTCCTGGTCAGCAGTTCCTCACCAAACCAAGTACAGCCTGGGACAGGGAACGCTGTCCTTTTCTGAGATGCTGAACAGTTTGTCAGAACCTCTTCAGGGCCAATCCAAAGTCCTTCTCCATGACCTGCCAAAATTCCTCCCATTCCCGAGTTTTAGCATCTGCAACCACAGAAGCTGCAACCCTCTTTGCCACCCTGTAACTGTCAACTGCTTCAAGAGTCCTCCGGGAAAGCCAAGTCTGGAAGGCCTCCTCCTTCATTCTGACGGCCTCCATCACCACTGGTGTCCACCGTCGGGTCCTTTGGTTGCCGCCGCAACAGGAACCAATGACCTTCAGGCCACAGCTCCTGGAAGCCGCATTTGCAATGGAGGCCCTAAACATGGCCCATTCTTAATCCATGTCCCTGACCTCCCCTGGGACACGTGAAAAACTCTCTCGGAGGTGGGAGTTGAACAACACACAGACGGGGGCTCCACAAAATGTTCCCTGTTCACCCTCACTATACGTTTGGGTTTACCAGGTCTGTCTGGCAGCCTCCCCCGCCACCAGATCCAACTCACCACCAGGTGGTGATCAGTTGACAGCTCTGTCCCTCTCGTCACCTGAGTGTCCAAGACATAGGGCCGCAGGTCAGATGACATGATTACAAAATTGATCAATGACCTTTGGCCTAAGGTGGCCTTGTACCAAATACACTTATGGACCACCCTATGGCCAAACATGATGTTCGTTATGGACAACCTGTGCTTAGCACAGAAGTCCAATAAGAGAACACTGTTCGGGTTCAGATCAGGGAGGCCATTCCTCCCAATCATCCCCTTCCAGATAACTCCGTCATTGCCCACCTGAGCACTGAAGTCACCCAGCAGAACAAGGAAGTGTCAGTGGATAAAGCCGGGTAATATGAACTGATGTTTGGTGCATAAGCACAAACAACAGTCAGAACCTTCCCTCCTGCAGCACGAATCCACAGAGAGGCAACCCTCTCGTCCACCGGATGGAAGGTTCTGACAAATTCTGAATGCTAAAAAAATTTCTAAATGACTGCCAGAGCTAAATTGAAACTGCAAATAACTCAGCCAATTGTTAAACATATTGGACTGAAATTTGATGTGGTGGTAGATGAGAATGATTCCCACCACATACTAGGGCTGTGTATTGGCAAGAATTTGGCGATACAATACATATCATGACAAAAGGGTCACGATACAATATATCCCAATATATTGCGAT